TATAGAGAGTGGTCTTGTCCAACCAAACTGACTAAACAGAGTGGTCTAGTCCAACCAAACTGACTAAACAGAGTGGTCTTGTCCAACCAAAGTTACTAGACAGAGTGGTCTTGTCCAACCAAAGTGACTAGACATAGTGGTCTTGTCCAACCAAAGTGACTAGACAGAGTGGTCTTGTCCAACCAAAGTGACTAGACAGAGTGGTCATGTCCAACCAAAGTGACTAGACAGTGGTCTAGTCCAACCAAACTGACTAGACCGAGTGGTCTTGTCCAACCAACGTGACTATACAGAGTGGTCTTGTCCAACCAAAGTGACTAGCCAGAGTGGTCTTGTCCAACCAAAGTGACTAGACAGAGTGGTCTTGTCCAACCAAAGTGACTAGACAGAGTGGTCTTGTCCAACCAAAGTGACTAGACAGAGTGGTCTTGTCCAACCAAAGTGACTAGACAGAGTGATCTTGTCCAACCGAACTGACTATACAGAGTGGTCTTGTCCAACCAAACTGACTAGACAGAGTGGTCTTGTCTAAACAAAGTGACTGGACAGAGTGGTCTTGTCCAACCGAACTGACTAGACAGAGTGGTCTTGTCCAACCAAAGTGACTACACATAGTGGTCTTGTCCAACCAAAGTGGCTACACATAGTGGTCTAGTCCAACCAAACTGACTAGACCGAGTGGTCTTGTCCAACCAAAGTGACTATACAGAGTGGTCTTGTCCAACCAAAGTGACTAGACAGAGTGGTCTTGTCCAACCAAAGTGACTAGACATAGTGGTCTTGTCCAACCAAAGTGACTAGACAGAGTGGTCTTGTCCAACCAAAGTGACTAGACAGAGTGGTCATGTCCAACCAAAGTGACTAGACATAGTGGTCTAGTCCAACCAAACTGACTAGACCGAGTGGTCTTGTCCAACCAAACTGACTAGACAGAGTGATCTTGTCCAACCAAACTGACTGGACAGAGTTGTCTTGTCCAACCGAACTGACTAGACAGAGTGGTCTTGTCCAACCAAACTGACTAGACAGTGGTCTTGTCAACGCCCCACCCACTACAGAAAAGCCCCACCCACGATAGAAGACCAACCCACTAGTGAGAAACCCCACCCTCGAGGGAGAAACCCCACCCTCGAGGGAGAAACCCCACCCTCGAGGGAGAAACCCCACCCACGAGAGAGAAGCCCCACCCACTATTGAGAAGCCCCACCTACTAGAGAAGCCCCACCCACGAGAGAGGCCCCACCCACTATTGAGAAGCCCCACCTACTAGAGAAGCCCCACCCACGAGAGAGGTCCCACCCACGAGAAGCCCCACCCACTAGTGAGAAGCCCCACCCACTAGTGAGAAGCTCCACCCACTAGAGAGAAGCTCCACCTAACTTTTAATCCACCTCGACCCCTTTTCCTGCATGCCCTGTTCCTCGGCCAATCTCGGATGGCCCGACCACCATGGGCTGGCGGAATCGGATGTGTGGTGCCTCATGTTGTCATCCTGGATTCACCAGGCCACGAATGGTAAAGCCACCACGGTGTCTCAGGTGTGACGATGTCACAGCTCCCATTTCCCCAGACCCACCTCATGAGCTCCACGAATCTGCATGACTTCAGGGACGCACAATTCAAATCACGTATGGCAAGCGGAGTCCATTATAAATAGATATATTAATACATCGGATCATCACCAAGTTCCATTCTATGATATTGGCTGTCAATACATTACGTATTGTGTTGAGGGGCAGCCCTGCAATTTCTCATTCACGCCACTGCTGGCAAAAGTGCCTCCGCGAGTGGGAGCTTGAGAGGGTATTTTGGCCTACTCTTACACACTGGCCAGACGTCTTGTAAGAGGTGGGAGTACCCACACTCAACCCCACCACACGCGACTCGCCAGTCAACTGCAGTACCGCATACCCATTCATACTCCTGGGTGAACGATGACTGGCCATGGGGTTTTAAGAAACTTTGTCCATTGCTGGAGATCTAAGGTGTCATATATTTGACGTAAAACACTAATTATATATGAACTCCGACCTTTGAAGCAGAATGAATCCATGATGTAAGTATACACAAACACCCAATGCATTCTTGATTCATGCACGTCTTACAAAATGTGATCTCTTCCCACGCGACGAGCCATCGCAACACAGGGCTCGTGTCGACAAAACTGGCACTCACCCACTGGCATGTCGTGGAAATAGAACCAGATGTTCAGGGTGACTCAATGCCTGCGCTCCAGCGAAGGTCGGCTCGTGCTCGAGATGATTAATGTCGTGTTGCCACAGACTCACAAATGGTCAACATCACCTCTCCATGCTGCACGTGACTCCCGCCCCTCAAGTGCAAACTGCAAAGCCTGCTGCTACCCTCTGTCCATGACTGATCGGTTACTCTGCCTGAACTTTGTTTAGTCTGCACCACCCCCCCTCTCCCCCTGCCTGCAATTGCAGACTTTTTCCACGTTGCCAAATAACCTACAAACTATTTGTTTTATTTACCAGCAAAGGCCCACTGAGCTATATAACTCTTTTTTTTCAGAATTGATCCGGCCGCAAACGATAGCTCAACTTAAGTGTTTTTTTTCGTGGAAAACGCCTGTTGATTCTAAATGTGGAGTATACGCCGTGTACAGGATGTGGACATCCCCATTAGTTGACCATGGCTCCAAGATGATTTCATGAACACAGCTACATGCGAATACAATTGACAATCAGTGCAACCCAAGAGGTATCTTAAATGCCAAAATACCTCGAAACGCGAGATGTTGATTATAAATGTGGAGGGAAATCCCGGAGGACCCGGAGAAAAATCCACGCGACCACGGGGAGACAGAGAGATGTAAACGCAAAATAAATGCAGGCATCGTCAGGGTCGGGATCGAACCCACGACCTCCTGTATACAAGGCGAGGTAGTTAACATCTCGCCGCCTAAAAACTCTCCCACACTGCTTCCATAATTCAAATGTCCCCTCCTCTGCTAAAAGTATCTTAATATACAGTAAAGTAATATTGCATTGGACATCCAAAATACATAAATCATACATATTATGTCTTGGTTTATAATTAATGTTTGGATTAGGCCAAGTTAATGATCTGGCCAAATAATGAGCCATGCACGCTCCCATGTCCTCAAATCCATGCAATAAAAAAAACCTACGCGTCACGCCATGGTCATCATCCCACGTGTGTGGGAATTGATGTTGCGAGCGAGCTGCACGCATGGATGGGGTTGCAGCTTGTCGGCGTTGCCCGACATAACAAGTGGAACAAGTCAACACAACACCAAGGGACCACCACTTTGACGCGGACGGTTTTACTTCGAGACGATAGGGGAGTTGTTTCCTTGGAGCCACGGACAGTTGCAAAATAGCAATGTTTAATTCACCGGCCTCTTTTAAGTCGCAATTGCTGCAGCAAAAAAAAACGTACATTCGTGGCGTAAGCGCGCACACAATATAACACGTGGGACGCACATTGCACATCATCCACATTTACAAGGTCTAATAACACAGACAGCGGTCCCTCATTTACCGTGACACGGTCGTGCATCCACCTCTTAAGGTCCTCCGTATGGCAGAGATCTCCCGTACAGCCTTAACAGACTGTTGGGGCAAACGATGTTAGTGAACACCTATGAAGGCCGGAACGGTGGGTGGCCAACACCACGCCCGGCCGCTTTTGTTTCCCCAGTGTTGATGTTAACTACAAACTGCACACCGATTATTTGAACCGTGTAGCGATTATCGCAGTGAGATAATCGCTATACTACCGCTCCCCACACATTATACCTCACACACACACGTTAATGTTTACCATGGCTAGGGGCTGTTCGTCTGCGTGTGGTGGCACAAGGGGTAGTTTATGGCTTTAGAGGCAGTTGTTGGTGGATTACGCCCAATGTCAGACTCCACAGGTAGCAACGCAACAAGTGGGTTATTGAACCCATCTGTGCATCTTTGATAGCTCCGTTTTCTCGGAGTGGTTCAATGTCTTTACCACACGGTGGCAAGATGTTAAACACCTCGCCAGGTATACAGGAGTACATGGGTTCGATCCCGACCCAGACGCCTGCTGTATATTTGGAGTATGCATGTTCTCCCCGTGGTCGTGGGGATTTTTCCCCGGGTCCTCTGGTGTTTCCCTCCACATTTAGTCACATGCGTTTGGAGTATTTGTCTGCTATAAATTTCCACACAAGCCACTTCGTTGAGCTATCAATGGTGGTCAGGTCGCTTCTGAAAAAAATAGCTAGATTGCTCAGTTGGCCTTACCTGGTAAAATAAAATATAAAGCTGATAGTTTAGTTAATTACTTCAATAATTGATTACTCTACCGATTATCAGTTTGATCTTGCAACTGTTCGGATAACGCCAAAGCAGCTGGGGGGAAATGTTGTTTCCACGCGTGTCGCTGGACGGGAGGTGATGGGCGCAGCTTGATGACATGAGCACCATCATCCGCATGGCTAGTATGTGGAACTTCTTTCGCACGGTACGTAGCCAACCGCGCTCATCACAGGTGCGACTAACCGATCCAGTCGATATTGGTCTCATTTGGCCCACCTGTCATTCATTCTAATTTCATCGTACCTATCATTCAATCCATTCACCTAAAACTACACTTGCATACAACTTACATACATCGTAGGTTATGAACTCACGGTATTTGTTTTAATAACGTCTCATTACATGATGAATAATCCTGGCAGACTCCCTTGCCACATAACATATATCAGAAACAGGGCTTACATTAGCAGGGATTGTGTATTAATATCAACATTAAACATCCTGGCAAAACGTTAAATGAAATAAAACACGAGTGATTATTCCCTCGTATGCGTTGCTTTCCTCCCACGTTAACTCGTGTTTTCCCGATTGGGTTGGAAGACCCAACCTAAATAAGGCCGAGAGAAACTACATTGCTGCTCCTATAATATTGCGAACCTTTCAAATAGTGATATTATTAACCCTCCCTTTATAAGGAGATGCCGTTGATGACTTCTCTCAGGTAAACGTGAGCTTTTCAACTCGCTTTATTCACGCGCTCACCAATAGCATAAAACGATCGAAGGATAGTTTTAAAATCACAGCAAGCGAACAAGATATGACAATGCACTATTTTGATTACAATTAATACTGAACATCACACGCAAAGAGAGGCCACGAGGTTAAAAGACACGCGACTGCACGAGTGAACGCGTCACAGTGCATGTGTTGTGTGTTCATGAGTGAAAGGCAAACAAGGCAGTCATTGAAGTTGTCTCACTTGTGACCAATGTACACATGTATAAATTAGATATACTGCGATTTTTTTTGTTGTTGTAACAAATTAGAAGATAATCTTTTTATAAACTGTACGTTTGACGAAAATATTAGCTTCACGATTGAACATTTCGGGCATCACAACTTGGCTGGTAGCTGTCGACGGGTGACGTTTGCGACTATATACGAGCACGCACACAGCGGAGAAGCCACCAGCGGTAGAAGTATTCATAATAAAAATGCTTGATTTACATGTTTGCAAATCATGGCACAGGAGAATCCTGCTTATCTGTGACCGCGTCAACTAAGCCTGCTGCTTTCTGCAGAGGTTAGCAGGTCCACCGTTCGCCACATTATTGAGGATCCGCTACGATTTGAGACAGCGGTGTATCATACATTGCATGAGACACATCATCACATGTGTGCTCGTGATCGTAGATGGAAGCGCATCCTTGCTCTTGGCCCATGCTGCTGCGGAACCCGGCAGGTGTTAGTCTTTTTCTATCCCGCTCATATAAATACCTTGAAGAATTTAGATTAATGATTAACACCATCTGGGTGACGGCAGCCAAGTAAGGGTGAACTCCTCGACGCTTCAGTGACATTAATGCAGGGATGCCTCTAAGCCACACTATGTGAATCACACACAGAGGCACTGGGAAGTCATGCAAACACCTTCCACCATTCACCTGATATCACCTGCCAGGCAACTCGTTTTACATACGAGTTATCTTATTTACGACATTCTCCATGTACACCATCACAAACAAGAGTTTTCCCGAGGCTATGTATACGGTTAGCTAGTGCGCGCTTAATCTTAGGTACATTTTGCGAAAGATTCGATCATATTGTTCTCTTATCACCTGTTATTTTTATAAAGCTGGATAACAATTCACAACTTTCAAATACGTTAAATATAAAACAATGGATGCTTGTTGAAATTAAAGGCCTGCATCGAGCCAGAAGATAGAAGGCTTCCTCAAGCCAAACTTAAAAAAGTAACAGTTAAAAAGCGATTACGGTATATGAATGATGAAAATAGTGATGCCAGTTTTTCCTGATCTCCATCTTCCTCGTTTTACCGTGAATCTTTTTAAGAAAAATGCCATTCGCCAGAATTAACTGATTTTGTATGCTATTTTATAAAGAAGCTTGTTTACACACATTGTAATCTGGTCACTTTCCACAAGTGATTAATGACTGGCACGTAACACGTGGCCGTCCAAAAATAACTTTTTGACGCTATGAGTTCACTCTCAATTTATGGTGTGAACTGAATCCATCCGAGTGTGTGCGATACAGATTGGCCATTTTAGGGTTGAGGTCAGAGCGTATGGTGCAGTAGAGGGTAATAAAACACAGGCAAGTACACGTGCAGGCAAGCAAATGTGCGTTCACATTGGCAATGATCAAAGGTGCATCGAGGGGGAAAGGCAACGGGATCATACGCCACGCGGCTCACGGACGCGAATCTCACTCACTCTCAGTTGGAAAAACACTTCCCCACGTGGGCAGTGCCACCTCCTGCCACTAGAGGGGGGGGGGGGAAGACGAGAGGTCTCCTCAGGAAGGACTCGAAAACTTGAGCTTGACGGCCTCCGTGATGACGGACGCCGGGTCGGTTGGTTGGCGCTCGTTGTCCGTCAGTGCGGTGCCACTAGAATCAGAATATTTATTTAAACTGCAGGAGGAATTCGATGGGTTATGGAGCATTTTTTTTTTCACAGAGTAAAGCAGGGGGCAGTTCAGAACGTTACAAAAACAAATACAAAGTAAGCAACAGACAAACGGCGCCGTTAAGCGAGAGCTTCTTACACTCAAGCGCCTTTGCAACTCCACGGTCCACTTTGAATGTTTCTAAATCGATGTGTGCCAAAGTATAATCAAACACTCTTTGGTTCATTCGGTAAAGTCACGTAGAAAATCAAATCAAATAATATTAGAATACGACGTTTCGATTGCAACACAAGCAACCATCAACAGGGTAAGAATGAATGATAAAACACAGACACGGAAACAACACAGGCAGACACACATGCAGAGACACACAAAGACACACCGAGCGAGACACACACCAAGACAAACAGAAGGACAACGAATCTGTGCCGAGGCCTTAAACAGAGAGAGGGGGGAGGGGCCGGGGCAGAGAGAGGACTGGGGAGGCGGACAAACGAGAGGGGACCTGCGGACAAACGAGGGGACAAGGAGGGAGCAGCGTGGAATTCCGGACCACAGTGGCCGGAGGAGAGAATGGTTTAGAGCAAGAAAATCAAAAGTTTGAGAAAGCAAAATTAGTAAAATTAAGAAGTGTAATGCAATGCAACGCCGAGAGTCAGCTAACACAGTTAACGCATAGCCTGGTTGATTAACGTCCTTCAAATCTAGTTTATAATCAAACACCTTTCGGTAAATGGATGAAAATGAAACGAACGACTGCGGGATAGCTCTCAGAAAGTGGCTCTAACCTGGGGTGCACACACCTCCTGGGGGTGCGTGATGTCCTTCCTGTGAACCAAAGGGGTGGAGAGGCTGCAGTAAAGGTTTAGGACCACTGCTCTAGGATTCGAGATTCAAAACTATGCAATGCTGGCATGAACTTTTATTACACTCTTTAAATTTTACAATTTTTTTTTTACAAATGATAAAAACAGGTAAATGATGGTGCATCGTTTTTTTGTAAGAGCAATATGTCTTGGTTACAAATATAGGTGTGCATGTAATACATGCACAAGCATAATCCCCTATCATGCCTTCGTTAAGACTGTTGGGACTCGAGCTAGATGCAAAACATCATGAGGATGTTCGTATATGTGCATCCACAGAAACAAAGAACGTCCATTAAGCTTAAAGATACTGCTGGGGCAAGCGTATTAGAGATGCAGACATGCCCAGCTTCCTGTACCGATGCTGACAAACAGCATCTGCTATAACTCGTGCAGGTTCATGCCAGGTGTAAGACACCAATTACACTGGTGTAAGACACCAATTACACTTTTGTGCACGGTAACAATTGAAACCTGAGTCACTATAATTATAGCTTAACTACTAAACTGCATCTAGCTAGTGTGTGTGTGCACAGTGGGCCAGCATTTGTGCACAAACGAGCTGCCTGCCACCTCCAAGTGTAAGAGATGTCAACATGGTGCATGTGTTGTCAGGCTACGGGCACTCTGAATATACGTGGAACTTCGTTCGCACCGTACGTAGCCAACCGTGGCTAACCGGAGGCGGGGGGGAGGGGGGCAACATGAACGTTGACAAATTCAATACATTACATAAACCCAATCGTTATGGCCTTTGAGGGCTGTAAGAAGGTGAATTACTAATTGTGGGTTCATCAGGTACCGACTGACGAACACAGGCTCATGCATTGTGCAATCAATCCAACGGTGCAAGTCCCAGCTGATTAATCAAGCCTTGCCTATAAAAGGGGCCACTTTGCATGCAGCATCAGCTGATTGTAACAAGGGACAACTGGTGTGACAACTGCGTGGGTAGGGGGGGAGAACTCAATTGTGTAATCATGCAATCAGAATAACGAGCAGCAGCAGCCTGTAGGTCTATCTGGGGAGGAGCAATCTGATAAAAGGTGGCAGCCCGCGTAGACACGTGAGTAGCTTTGTGAGCAGGCTCTATTCTGACGCTGCTCACTCTCGTACGGCACTGATGTTTCTTGCAGTCCAAGCAAAGAGCTCATGTGGTGTGTGTGTGTGTGCGCGCAAGTGTTGCCTTTGTTTAATTGTATTACTTGTTGATTACAGCTCTTGTTTTAATTGAGATACATATTTGGATCAGTACTACAATAGGTGTCAAAGCTTCCTGGCTGTATAGTAAAGTCTACAGCAAGGCCAGGCAGGAGCACGCATGGGTGTGCGTGTGTGTATATACAACTGCGTAAAAAAAAATGTGCTTCAAAGAGACTGCAATGTTAAGGGGATGCGTGTAAATAATTCTAAACGCAACTAACCTTGACAATCACTTCATGTGACCTGTGTGCCAGTGTATTGAGCCATCCTGTCCGAGTAACGCTCCGAAGGGGGTCACACGAGCGGACGGTCTTGCGTGTGCGAAGAGGAACACCGAGTGTGTCTGTCTCGGCTTGACCCGAACAATTGTACTCGCTTCTTATATTCCATCTGCCGGGGGTCATGGCGAGCCCAGGGGAGCAGAGTGCTGCAGCCTCGCCCCGAGAACGTGATGCTCACTCCCACTGCGAAGCAACGGTCCTCGGCTACATTGTTACACACTTCTATGAGTAGGAAAAAAAATTTGTACACGTTCCTTGAATTTTTGCCTCATTTTATGGGCTCCTCCCGCTAGCTGTTTTGTTGACCATTTGGACGTTCTGCTTTTTTAACATGAGGCGTTGAAATGGTCTTGGTTGCCTCACTGAGCTCACTCCATTAGGACATCCCTCGGCTCACAATCTACACTCGGGCTAAGGGAATCGGTTCAAGTAATGCTCCTAACCTACCCTGGGGGTCAGATCTGCCGATTCCTGTCCATTCCTTTTTTTATCGCGCCTGAAGACTGCACACGTTAAAAAAAGGCCTTCACTAACACTTAATTTTATCAACGATGAAAATGTGCTATTTGATTGTATTTGTCCTGTTCTATAACTACTTTACATTGTACCGAGCTGCACTTATATAAATGCAGTGCTGTAACGCAGACTGCCTCGGCATTCACTGAACAAGAGTTGCGACACAGGAGTGTATACATTACAATCAAGCGTAGCTCGGCACGGAGGATGCCCTCAATTGCACAAACATGAAGTAAATTCAGATCTCTGTAGTTAAGTGTATCGGTACTTGTTTTAAATAAATAAGGCTTTCACTAACACTTGTTTTCATTCAATTTTCATGTTTTAAACGTGGCCGGTCGGTGGAGGTACCTATTTGTCTTATGAGCGATGTGAAATCGCTGTACAAACGTGACTCCCAACCGCCGCCAGTTGTGTTTGGACTGGACAATGTTGCTTCATCGCAGTTGCTGCTATGCCTCCTATTGTTAGACCAGGGCCACTGCAGCTACCGGTTGGTCAACAGCGATAAAAGCCCAAGTTTTTGCACCTCAGAGCCGTGGTGAGGAAGATCATGCTGGAATTTTAATGTCAATTAGTTGTGAGTTATTTGCGAAAGTGTGCCATTGGCTTCCGTGAAAATTGGACAAAAGAGCTTTGTGGCATGCCAGCTTCTACACAGCTTAACGCACTCAATGCTCATTGAAATCCGAGGTAAGATATCTTCAAAGGTGGCCACGGAGACTTCTCGGTTAGTAACCTACCGATGTGAGAACCACATTCACAATGGCAGAGGGGCCCCCTCTGCCGGTTCGGGTGTTGGCATCCGTTGACGTACCCAGGCAAATTAGTTTGTGGGCGATTTTTGATAAGGACCCACCAGCCCCCCACGTCTGCAGAATATTCTAGAAGTACTTAACACGAGCCATTTACCAGGTCATTAGACGGGTGGGCGCACACAGGTTCCCCCTGTATAGTCTTTGAAGACTGTTGGGGCAAAGCGATCACCTAATGAAGGCCGGCACAGCACACGAGGGGGTGGGTGGCCAGCACCACACCTGGCCACCTTCACCCACGTGGTGATATTTAAAAATCGTACCAGATACTCATTTAAGGCCGAGTTGGCCTAGGTGAGACCCAGGACCGGTGCAGATATGTCACCGATGTTGACCATGAGCGGGAATCGAACTCGGGTCACCGGGTTCGTAGCACAGCGTGCTAACCGCTGCACTACCGCTCACACACACACACACCTGTAAGACTGAGCGTTGCTCAGGGGACCAAGGTGTCCGTTTGGCGTCTCGTCTTCGTCGTCACTGTGTTCCTCAGAGCCCAGAACCCACGCCAGGCCGGCCGGCACGCTGCACGACTGGTCCTCTGTACAAACACAAAGATCAAAAAACAAAGATCCCCCATATAGCCTTAACAGACTGTAGGGGCAAGTGCTGTTAGCGAGCACCTATGAAGGCCGAAACGGTACACGAGGGGGTGGGTGGCCAGCACCACGCCCGACCGCCTTTGTCTCCCTAGTGGCAATGTTTACACACCGCACCAGGTACTCATTTGAGGCTGAATCGACCTAGGGGAGGCCCGGGACCGGTTCAGATAATCGTCACTGGTGTTGGCCGTGAGCGGGAATCGAACCCGGGTCGCCAGGTTCATAGCGCAGCGCGCTAACCGCTACACTAACACTATCGTGCGTGCGTGCACAAACACGCACGCAGGCACGCACGCACACATACACCATGCGGCGAGGGATGGAAAGGCTTCCATGCTACGGTTAAGCCTCCGTGTGCATGTACAGCGCTTTTTTCACTGCTGGATGAGGGCCTCCCAGTGTCGTGCGTGCTACACAGGCTCCATCCTGCTTGGCTTCTGATATCTGAGACCGGGAGCTTTCCGGGCGAATTGGTCACAGGCGTTCACAAGATTTTAGAATTGCAACGGCAAAACGACAGCAGATTCACTTGCCTGCGCCTCGGAAATTTTGATGTACGTTGAAGCTGTCCTGGTGGTTAATTGATTGGCTTGCTGCGGCAATAACAAAGTATTGTGGGAATTAACCTTGTTTAAAATGTATTTTCAGTCAGTCCATAATGGGCGTAATGTAATTGAGAAATCTTGGTGCAATGTACTTGATTAGCTGCACACCATGGCACCTTTCATCGATGAAATAACACAAAACACAGCTATATAATACGTTGTCAGATGCCAAAGTTGGTGTTCGAAGTTTTTTTGTTGAGCCTTGGGGGTGTATACCTCCTTGGAATTTGGTTGTTTTTCGAGGTGAGATTGAGAGATCAACGAGGTGCCATGGGTTTAGTCGATGCCCAGCTTGTTTGTTGAAATTAAATCCAGTCGCCAGTAGATGGCAGTACAGTCAAGTTCGCACATTTGTCCGGGTGTATTTTAAGTGTTCTACACACGGTTTCTCTGGGTACCATAGTTGCCTCCCACATTAGTTTTTTTTCAAGTGATTCCCGGAAAAGCTTTTATGGATAAAACATTTGTTTTAAAAAGTAGAATAACACGCAACATCCAAGCAGGAATCCTTTAACATATCAGGTCTTTCCAAGGAGACCTTCACGTGTGATCGGTGGCGATTTCACGTTTTAAGACATTGCTAGGACTACGATCAACTTAGACTGGAGGTAGAATAGTGGCTAGCGCGCATTGTCAGGAAACCCAGCGAGACCAGGCTTTGATTCCTGGTCACGACCAACATTTTCAACAAGTGGTATGGGAACCGGTCCTGCCCCTCCCTTCACTAACCCACAATGACCAGTGTGGTGAAGTAAGGCCAAATTACCCATGTGATCAACATGCTGTGGGGGGCCTTCATCCAGCAGTGGATTTAAAAAAGAACCGTTCTTTTTAATTATAGATTCTCTCTGCATGGAGCTTTGCTTAGGCTGCTTCTATGAGCACTAACACAAGGTTGAGAGTTATTACTTGGGAACAGCGCTCACTCTCTCTCGTACACAACAGGTACTAAAAATCACGCATGGTCTGTATAAATGTGAAGTGACGATACGCAACATGTGGGTTTGTGATATAAACAATGCCAGCAGGCAAGGTGGCACCAAATCGATTGGCACGTAGCTGCAAGCTTGCAGAAGGGGTGCATCGCCATTGGTATTGGTTAATAATAATATAGTGTGGTGCATGGGGCAGTGTTTCACTCAGTTTGAAATCCACATAAAGATATGTTAAATCAGATTAAGAGCTTTGAATGAGGCAAACTGCCCAAAATATGTCATTGCGATGTAATTTTATAAGCCGCAATACTGGGGGAATGTTTACCAGTTGCCCAAACTTTGGCATTAACTCTCGCACTAAGTTCTGTTTATGAATTATATGCTGGGATTTAAGGTCACTTGGACTGCTTCTGCGGGCAACGGTAATCATGTATTCAATTAGATACTTTATATTTGACAGTGCGTAAATTGAGGCTGGCAAATCTGAAATGATTCCTGCCAAGTTTTAAAAAATGTAACAAATCTATGACGGACATTTAATGAAGAGGCAAGTGGCCTTTTTCAAAGATTCCCCGGTTAAGAAATATTTAAAATCATTTCACAGAAATGTCTCGAGATTGTCAAAACAGTATGACGGATAACTTGGTACATTTTTCCGGCAGAAATTATGAGGTGGTCAGAAATCAAAACCGGAAATGTGAGCAATGGATCCCATGGCAAATGTATGGAGCACTAGGCTTCACGGTAAAGTGGTCAGGAAACAGGGACTCCTCTACTTACGAACAAGTTAGGTTCCAGGTCTGTTCGTAAGTCGATTTGTTCTTAAGTCCAACTTTACTCCTGTCGATTCCAAACACGTTGTACGGTGTGTACACTAAATATGCGGAATGGCTATGAAAGTTGTATCATCTCCTGTAGATGAAGATTACACTGGTTCTTCATGTTCTGCGGAAGTAGATGCCACCACCGCCATCTATTATTACGTGGGGGTTAAACTTACGATTCTCGATTCGAACAGGCAACTGGACATACCGACAGGTTTGTTGGTATCTCTGAAAGTTCGTGAGTAGAATGTTCGTAAGTAGAGTGCCTGTATCATGGAAACGCACAATTTCATCACGTGGGTTTTGACTATAATCTGAAGGGTGCATGAAAATAACGTTATATTTAAAATGAATTGCCCACATTTCAAGTAACCAGAGGAATATGTTAGGAAACTTCAATAGACCTACTCATTGGTTTTTTCGGTAAAGTCACGTATGTAGAAATATAATAAAATTATATTAAAAGATGAGAGACGAGAATTCAACAAACCTGAAAAAACATTATGTGAAGCACATCCAGTCAGGCCAACAATACAGTTAGACACTTCCTGGCGGACCACGAATTTCAGCAGAGTGTTAAATTTCGTGTTTGTTGAATTCTCGTCTCTCATCTTTTTGTTGTATTTACCTCCGTGATTTGTTCTTGACACCTGATGAAGATCGCTTGCGTTGTGATCGAAACGTCGTGATTGTTTTTTTTGTTTTAACAGAATTTTATTGTATTTCTACATACGTGACTTTACCGAAAAAACCAATGGAGTAATTTTATGCAGTCACGAAAGCTTTAATAATTCAATAGACCTGTCTGCGCAGGACTGCGTGGTTTTGCTATGTCTAGCTCTCCGATGCGCCTTCGGTTTGTGCCGCATACTGCCAAGCGACACGCGGTACGAGCGAGGCACCTTTTTTGTACATTTCAAGCCCGGAAGGCTCGCAAGCTCCATTTTTACGATGTCAACGCGCGAGCACGCACGCGCACACAAAGCGAAGCCTAACACCAGAGGCCTCTCGGTGCAAGCCCCGGCACCAGCACGCAACGGACCGGCGCCTGGCGAGGCTTGCGGGGCCGGCTTGCGGGCGAGCAGTAGCGCAATCTGCGCGCGCAGGTGGCTCAGCTCTTCCTCCAGACGGGGGCGAGAGGGCGCGTCCTCCTCGGCGAGCGGGGGCCGGGCGCCCGCGGGCCGCCCACGCATGCACGGGGAAGAGAAAACCTTGCGCAGCGACGCGAGCGAGTTGGTGCGGCGATTCTGCTTGCCCGGCCTGAGCTCTGACCTGGCAGCAACAGAAGGTAAACGCGATTGTAAATTGTTTCGAGAATAATTGTGAATTGCTTATTTACCCGGGAAAGGTGTGTGTGTGTCGAACTTTGTGAATTTCTTCACGAGGGTCGTGCGTTGGGGATATTTTTTGGGGGCAAGTCACCAATGACCGTGCGTGTCTTTTTGTAGCTATCGAGGAAATGGAGAATCCCGAGGGAACTCTTGTTCAGCGGGGGAGGCGTAATGTAAACACCCGACAAAGGTGCCAGGGTTTGGATCGATGAACCCAGGCCCTAGGCGTGTGGCACAAGTGTTAACACGGCACCCCCCCCCGCCCCCCGCCCCATACTGCTCTATCAAATAGTATAATGTGCTTCAGTTAACACTGTGATAAACCTTTCACATGATCACTTTCGCAAAGAGAGATATATAAATGATTAAATTAAGTGCACAGGGTAAGTTTACAATTCATTTAGAAATAATTTATGCAACATGCTGGCTACTGAATTGTTTAGTGGCCTGTACAGATGTTTGTGGAAACTGTTTACCAAACCTGGGGTAATCTATGAATTGTGCAATTATGTATTCTAAGATGCTATAAAAATGTATTTACATTAACTCATGATGTGCCAACAACATCCATATCTCAAATGTGAAAGTTGATTTCAAGACAATAATTGGTTGTTCTTAATGGAACTGCGGCGGATCAAAAAATAGTTGACCTCTTCCAACAATTTAGGAGTGAGGGCCTGATTTTAGGCCTTGACATAAGTAACAAGTAACAATCTAACACGTCGGCGACCAATATCATCCATAATAGAGTTTGTTTGGGTTTGATCGCGTAAATATATAAATGTCTCATTAAAACCCGCCACCACCCGACACAGCCAAGTAGTAAGGTTTGTCACGTAAACAGAACGTGGCCAATTCGTCACTAGTACTGCACACCGGTGTGTTGGAGAGCCAAGCCACAACATTTACAGTGTGTGTGCTGTACTAGTGACGAATTGGCCACGTTCTGTTTACATGTCAACCCTTACTAGTTGGCTGTGTCGGGTGGTGGCGGGTTTTTAACGACACATTTATATATTTACGCGATCTAACCCAAAAACCTCTATTATAGATAAGTAACAATCGTAAGAATTGATGAAGGATTGAAATTATCAACTTGAGTCACGAGCAAAAATAGTTTTTTGTGGATTATTATTTGTGCCGCTGACATGCCAACATGAACTTTTCATCACTGGTTCAGCGCTGCCAACAGGGATGGGCACTGCCCCGTGGCTCGCTTAAGATGTATTTAGCGAACGCTTTAACACGTGACTTTTACACAGTTAAGAGCACGGGCGATTTAGAGAAGGGTGACCACGGTATTGGACTTTGTTATATACTGTACTGCAGGTGAAAACTATCGCCATCTCAAAAACCCACTCCTAAAACGATTGGTCCAAGTGGAACAAAATATACCCGAGGCTATGGTGCAAGATAATCTAATTTTCATAAACCTATTTATAATCTACAAACCCATAGTAGTGCATATACATGAAATAATAAAAATGCATTACAATATGCTACTTTTATTTTCCGAATAAGGTAGGTCATTCTTTAAAGGCAATACATTGGCGTCATGTTGTTCTCTTATTTGCTTCAAAAGGTGTTTCCATGGCAAACTGTGAAGGATCTCAATGCTCTAATTTTCGTCAAAATTGCAGTTCGTGGAAAACCTACCAGTGGCAAAAAATGCCATGGGGAAAATTACCATTCTTCGCTACCAAGAACTTAACTGCCAAGGCCAAACAATGTGCCAGATGCGTGCACAAGCTGTGCAAGGTGGGACATTTTCCACAATGCCAAAGGTTTTCCGATTTGTACCCAAAAGCAGATGTTGAACTTAGAGCCTCACCGGAGTCTGCTAAAGGTCTCGCCCTCATCGTCCATTATCCACATGATATCTGCCAGTGAAGGCACCTCCTGGTCTTCCTCTGGGCTGGCATTTAACTGCTGGATGTCTTGATCCTTTCCAGCGGTCTGTGACAGGCATAACAGGCAACAGTTCAACGTGTTCATATTCTTAGTTTTTTCGGTAAAGTCACGTTGAAGGGAAACAACAAAATAATAAAATACATATAAAACAATAAAAAATTCTCACGACGTTTCGACCATAACTCAAACGGTCGTCTTCAGGTGTGTTGGTTTGCATAAATTTATTTTTAAACGGTGCATTTATTTATTTATAAAAAACGTTAGCGCCACGCGCAACGATTTGGCAGTTTATTTAGGACTAGTCCATCTATATTCTGAAAAGAGGAGGGGGGAGACAAATTTTTTTTATAATGTATGCTGTCTGAAAGCCACTGTAAGCGTGAACAATCAATTAAGACCTGAAATGGTTTATCAAATCTTTCCAATGATTGCTAAGATAGAATCCATCTTCTCGGTTGAAATTGTCTCTGTGCTTGTATATGTGGATAGCCTCATGAACGAATCTCTCATGGTAGCCAGATGGCTTACAAAGAACCTCTGTCTTGGAAAAGTCAATGGCATGTGAGCCTACTGAATTAGAACAATGATCTGCCATGGCCGAGGTGTTGGTCCTACCGTGTTTAAGGTCTGCTTTGTGTTCACGAATGCGGGTCCGAGACATGGCGTTTTGGTTTCTCCAATGTAACTACTACCACAGAGGCAATTTAGTTTGTAGACACCAGGGTATTGTATGTCCGGAATCACATCTTTTACAGACGGAACCAGATCACGGATGTTATGTAATGTGTTGAAACAGACCTGGATCTTGTGTTTATTCAAGATTTTGGAGATCTTTTTTGTGATCCCCGCAATGTAGGGTAAAGTGATGGTTTTGAAAGGCTCCTCAAGAGGGTTCTTCTTCATGTTTGAGTGATAGCTTTGCGGATTGTATAGTCGGAGTAACCATTAGCCCTAAGAGCTTGGTGTACGTGCTTGAGTTCACTGCTTATGTGTTCCTGGTCGGATATGCATTGGGCTCTATGATACAGAGTCTTGATGAGAGAATTCTTCTGTGATGGATGGTGGTGGGAATCCGGTTTCAGATAAGCATCCGTATGGGTAGCTTTCCTGTAGACAGAGTGGCTCATTGAACCATCAGGTCTCTTTTTAATTAGGACATCCAAAAAAGGTATCTTGCCATCTATTTCGACCTTCCATGGTAAATCTGATGGCTGGGTGTATGGAATTGATGTGGTCGAAGAATTGGTCTAGAGCAGGCCGGCCATGTGGCCAGATGACAAAAGTGTCATCCACGTACCTCTTCCATAAGGTTGGGCGCAGAGTGGCAGTCTGGATGGCGTCAGTCTCAAATTTCTCCATGAAAATGTTAGCTATAACTGGAGGAAAGGGGGGAGCCCATTGGGGTGCCCTCAGTTTGTTTGTAGAAAGTTCCATTCCAAGTGAAGTATGTATTGGTTATAAACAGTGTCTCACCAGGGGGGGTACCTCAGTGTTTAGTCCTTGATGAACCAAGTCTTCAATGATTGCAATGGTGTCAGGTACAGGAACCTTGGTGAATAAGGAAACTACATCAAAACTGACAAGCAGGTCGTCTGGGGACAGGGAAATACCCTTGATTGTCAATACCAGGTGAGTAGAATTTTGTACCGCAGAGGTGGTCTTTCCAGTGAAAGGACGCAGGATTTTCAGTCAAAAAACGATCTAGTTTGTAGGTGGGGGAGCCGATAGTAGAGACTATGGGACGAAGGGGTGTATCTACTTTATGTATTTTTGGTAAGCCGTATAATCTTGGTGGCCTGGCAGCAGAATGTTTCAACGAAAACTGTTTAGATTGATCAATTAATGCGGTTGAATCAGAAATTATTTTGTTGGTTTGTGTGACGAGGCTGTTGGTGGGATCTCTTTTTATTTTTGTATAACTACCATCGTCGAGTAATTCTTTAATTTTGTTGTTGTATTCTATTTTATCCATGATGACAGTAGCATTGCCTTTGTCAGCTGAGAGGACTACAATATCATTCCTCTTTTTTAATTTATATAATTCAAAACGCTCATCTTTTCTGAGGTTGCTACCTGGCATCTTACCGTTTTTGAGGGTTGCAGCAATTTCAGATCTTGCTACGTCTGCAGCGATGTGACCCAGGCCCCTGAGAGCAACGTCTACTTGGGCAATTATATCATTAACTGGTATGTGTTTAGGTGTGACTGCAAGTTTAGACCTTTAGCTAAAACGGATTTCAGACCATCGGAAATAGAACTGTTACTGCGATTAATTACGACTTTGTTAACGTCTAACTTTTTGGTGTGTGGGTCCGGTCTTTTGTTAATACCAATCGCATTTACACGGACCTCTGCTGCTGTAACTTCTTCCAATGCATATCCGACCAGGAACACATAAGCAGTGAACTCAAGCACGTACACCAAGCTCTTAGGGCTAATGGTTACTCCGACTATACAATCCGCAAAGCTATCACTCAAACCATGAAGAAGAACCCTCTTGAGGAGCCTTTCAAAACCATCACTTTACCCTACATTGCGGGGATCACAAAAAAGATCTCCAAAATCTTGAATAAACACAAGATCCAGGTCCGTTTCAACACATTACATAAAATCTGTGATCTGGTTCCGTCTGTAAAAGATGTGATTCCGGACATACAATACCCTGGTGTCTACAAACTAAGTTGCCTCTGTGGTAGTAGTTACATTGGAGAAACCAAACGCCATGTCTCGGACCGCATTCGTGAACACAAAGCAGACCTTAAACACGGTAGGACCAACACCTCGGCCGTGGCAGATCATTGTTCTAATTCAGTAGGCTCACATGCCATTGACTTTTCCAAGACAGAGGTTCTTTGTAAGCCATCTGGCTACCATGAGAGATTCGTTCATGAGGCTATCCACATATACAAGCACAGAGACAATTTCAACCGAGAAGATGGATTCTATCTTAGCAATCATTGGAAAGATTTGATAAACCATTTCAGGTCTTAATTGATTGTTCACGCTTACAGTGGCTTTCAGACAGCATACATTATAAAAAAAATTCGTCTCCCCCCTCCTCTTTTCAGAATATAGATGGACTAGTCCTAAATAAACTGCCAAATCGTT